GTAAACAAAATGATTTGAAACAGCTGAACTGACGACCACAGAGGTCACAGGTCAAAAGTGTGGAACTGGTCTGCAGAGCTAGAGCCACCGAAATATGAACGCATCAAATTCATGTATTCATTTTAGCTCAAACAGAAAGGAGAGCACCAAATATCTGTCAGTACTGAAGTACCTGAGAGCTGAAGCAGAGCCGGCCCGAGGTGTGAGCGAACTGAGCGCCTGCTTAGGGCCAGTAGGGGGCCCCCAAGAGCAATCAAAAATACATAAATACATTTAAATATTTCTTATTTTTTGCATGTATGAGTGATGGTTTCTGTCTGATCAAATATATTATTGTCAAAATAAAATAAAGTAAAAATATTTCAGTGCTGCTGCTGATGTAGGTCTATGATTCTTACTGCCGACATGTCAAAGCTCCGCCCACCGTTATGAACCTCCTGCTGTTTGATGTGCGCTGAGCATCTAAAGTTTAGGTGGTTGTGGAGTAAAACAATGTCACAAAAAAAGCAGAAAAAAGAAAGAGGAAGAAGAGAAAAGACGCCAAAATAAAGGTTTGTTTGCATGTCAGGGATTGTTAATCAGAGAGATTTGTGAAGGTGTGTGAACGATCAACAATCAATATTATTGACAGAAATAGAGGGCCCCAAAATCACATTTTCAGGGTTCAGGGCCCCGTTGAGGCTCTGAGCTGAAGGATCTGCCTCCCACACTAGTTTTAGAAATCTGTCTTTAGTTTTAATTTGATCCATTTATCTCATGTTTGCTTTAAACTTTTGATGCTGCCGTTTATTTCATTAATTATTATTATTATTTCTCTTCTCTGTAATTGTCTAAATGTAATATCACCCCCGGGAGAGGGGTGGAAATGATAATGGAATCAAATTAAACAGAATAAAAAAAAAAAATCCGTCTTTCTGCTCTTTGAAGGTTCATCCTTTTTGCTCTTAAAGTTGTTGATTTTATTCCGTAAATCTCCGATCCTCTCCCTCCCTCCTTCTCTGTCGTTCTCACCTGTTCCTCCCGTTTTCAGCCTCCGTCTCTCACTTCCTTCCTCGGCCTTATTTTCCATTCTTGCTGGGTTTCCCTCCTCTCGTTTCCTCGTTAGTATTCAAAGCAGCGTCTGAATAATTCCCATTGAAATAATTGATTTTCCTCTTTTTTTTGTGCTGCACTGCTCAGTAAATAATGGATGGCTTCATCATCTGGGGCTGTGCGGCCCTGCAGGCTGAGTGACGGCAGGCACCAACAAACACACACCAGCATATATACACACACCTCTGTACACTCACTGTTAAAGTGTGTGTGTGCTGACTGCTGAAGGGCCTTCAGTACATTAAAGTAATATGATGTCAATAATGAGTTTTATACATTTGTTCTTCAGAAACTCTTCACCTCCGTTTGTTTATTTCAGTTCAGAGAGTTTGGAGAGTCTCCTGGTTTCTGTTTTTTTTTCACATCAGTGATACTGACCAATCAGATCCCAGCAGGTTCTGAGTCTTTGTATGGAGAGCAAAAGCAGGTGTGATGATCCGACTGCTGCTATCTCAGGTTACTCTGAGAATGAAATCTTACCATCAGAGTCGTGTTGGAAAAGACGTTAAATAAGTAGATCGGCTCACTTCCTGTAACCCTGACTGGGGTTCAGATCAGGAGGTTGACTTTGATGGATTTTGACAGGAGACCTTCTCTAACCTTTGTGGCAAAGAGAGAGAGCAACGTCTGAAGGAAAACCTCTGATTTACGGGTCCAAAGAGAGAATGAAACTGAAGATACAGGAGGCTAGAACACAGGCGGGTCCATGGTAGGGTGGGCTGGACCGGGCCGAGGAGGACGGGTTGGCTGATATCAACGTGTCCTAACCCCTAATCTCCACCTTCATCCTGATCGTCTCCTAAAAGGTCGTATCCTCCGATCGTAGCTGATCGTAACCATTCAAGTTAACGTGTCAATTTACACCGACTTCTTTCCGTTCCTCTGCGGATCGCTGGACTCCTCAGCTGATCACAAGAGTTCTATTTTTTCTGGACGCCGGAGCATGGCAGATAAATTCAGCACAGATTAACCCGTGCTGGAAAGGAAGTCGGGCACAGACACAAAATAAAACATCCGGCTTCTTTTCAAAATAAAACACTCCGTGTTTCAGGAGGATCGTATTTCACACCATGCAAACGGGCGGAGACGAACAAGTGAAAGGTTTTTAGACGTCATTTCACCCCGATGACACCATGGATGAGGAGATGCTGATTCTAGAAGTCTAGAAGTAGATTTCCTCCTCTGGAAGGACACAATCTACTGCTTATATGTCTATGTGTCTGTCTTTATAGAGACAACTTGTTATCGCAGGATTGAACGTGAATCTGCGGGTTCTTGTGAGTTCTCGTGTTCCTGCTGTCCGTAATCCGCCACCAAATTCGCCTCAGAAACAGATCCAGTAGGAATTGGGGGATGATGAAAATCGCCGCCGTTCCGGATGCGGTGGAAATCCCGGGTTAGTGTGACCCAGAACACACTTGAAGAATTGTGTGTCCTGTCATGCGTGCAAACCTCTTTGAATCCACCAGGGGGAGCTGAGGAGTCCTGTTCTGGTTATATTTACTTTAAAACCTCCTGAATGTGTAAAACGTCAAAATGAAGACGTTATGAAACAGTTTAGAGTCGAACAGTTGAGTGAAAATCTGAGTTAGACCCTTTTGGAGCAAAGACCGGTTCTCCAGGTCAGGAATTTCAACGACGCTCTGAACTCTCAAAGCCGATTATGGACCAAACGCTCAGGCCCTGGTGGTTATTGGTGAACAATTACAACTTTTTGTCCAGTTCAATTAAAAAATAAAAACATCTGAACATCTGTTTTATTCTCCTCCAAAGTCTCTGCAGCTCAAACGGTCAGAAGACGAGAGAAAAAGTTAACGACAGTAAATTTAGTCGATTTTTAACACAGGATATAAAAATCTAATTTTTTTGAGCAGATACATAAATCTGTTGTGAATCATAGAAAAGTGAGGCTCAGTTCTGACTAGGAGTAGAAGGGTCCAAACCCGGGTCCACACTGAGGACTCTGGTTACGGTGAGGAGACCGGAGTGCAGGGTTATCGAGGTTCTGACTCGTCCGAATCGACTGGATCTGTTAAACTCGACCTAAACTCGACGACGGTGTTTGAACTCTGGTCCAGAACGAAGCTCAGTGACCCAGTTTGGATCCCGGTCTGAACAGAGGACCTCTGGGATCTGCAGCTCTGGTTCCCGGCTCTCTCCTGGTCGTGTCTGAAGTATTAAAGTGTTTGTCTTTGAGCGGCTCCGACACTTTCAGCCTGTATTTTATCACCCAAACATACCGTTAACCAGAAAGTGAAAATGTCTCTGTATTCAGGGGCTTTGACGCTCCACTAAAACCTTGAATTTTCCATTTATCCCCCATGACTGCATGCAGCTGCTGTAATCCTGCTTCCAGCTTTGGTACACAGTTTATTTGTGCGGAGGCTTACTTCCTTTTTTTTTTTCTTCCTCAAACCCTTTGAACAACTTTTGAAAAGCAAATCCAATCCCTCAAAACGACCTGCCACCATCACTCAGCTAAAACACGTCTGCATTCAGCAGAAAGATTTGAGTGAAAAGATGCTGCTGTGCTTCAAAGAGCCGTAAAACCTTTAATGGGACTCTTTCTCGGCGTTCATTCAGGTTACATAACAACCCGCTTTCTCTGCTCTGCTGGAAAACTATTAGGAGGAAAACTCTGTGAGCAGGAGGAGCAGGAGGAGGAGGAGGAGTGAAGCAGCATGTGACCCTGACCTCTCTTTTAGACGTCAGCTGACACCAGGTTCGGTGAAGAAGTCCTGCGTAATGAGACTGACACTCCTTATTGACAGCCTGAGGAGATAACGTGGAAACTTTTGGCATTAATCCTGTTAAAACCTCCAGAAAAGTGTGTTTTTGGCCGCGTCAGATCATCCTGCTCTTAAGTCTGCTTCTCAAACTCTCGGCTCAGACAGAAATCGATTCTTCCCTCACAGTAAGCGCGCCAATAAAAGTGCAAAGTCTTGTTCAGATGTCGTTCCCCAAAGTTGATGTCCATCGGAAATCTGTGCGGAGATTTACTCTGCTAACTTTGTTTTCTCTGGACCTGGTCACACATTTATGAAGCGAGAGTGCGGTTCAAGAAGACGTGGAAAAAGAGCAAACTGTGATCTGTGTTTTTCTGGTTTTAACAAAGTTATTTTTACAAAAGAAGCCAGGAGAGAAATGAGAAGGAGGGAAATGAACACCGACTAAATCTGAGGAAATGAGACGAAGAGACACACTCCAGTTCATGAAGCTGCGATTAAAGGGTTAAATGATCCTAAAACTGAGCTTCTCTGTCCTCCTGCTGTTTGCTCATTTCTCTGGAGGAAGATTTGGATTTTTGTTTTTGCACAAATGTTCGATCCTCAAACACGGTGTGAGCGCGGAGCTTCCTGTTCAACTTTAAAACCTTGAAGTGACGAGGAGAGTGCACGGCGCAGCTCTGTGCAGCAGAGAGCTTTTCAACACCAGAGTAAACTTTACAGACGTTTCTGAGTTTGAATTTTATCACAGCAGAAACTAACAGATAAACGTCATAATTAGTAAGTTAACTTTAATTTTATTCACAGAAAATAAAATACGTCTGATAAATTTAACCCTTCATGTGTCGATAATATCTTTAAAGAAGAAAACTGTTGAAGTTATTTATTCTCAGAAGTTAAACTCTTTATTTTAATTTAGAAAATCTCACGTGGTGTAAGGATACTGAACAGTGCCCCGTGTGGTTAGTAGGAGAACTGTTTGTTTTTAAAGGGTTTAATGGCGCCATCTGCTGGTAAACACTAAAAACTACAAATGAGAAATCTGTCTTTCAAATCAAATTTTCATCATAAGACAAGAGAGAGAATTTTCTTAAAGGACCGAAGATTAAATTTATGGTTTTGTGAAGTTAAACATTTCTCAGTGTTTTTACTTCGATTACATGGAGAGTCACCGGCGAACTACGGTGGCCCTGAGGTTCAAAACACGACGGTAAATCAGAAATCACAATACAAAATAAAAAAATACAATGGTTAATGTCGTATTTTCTGATTTGCTGTTGTATTTTGCACCTCAGGGCCACCATAGAGAACAGACAGAGTTAGAATTTCAAAATAAAATAGAGATTATTTCTGATAAACGACGTGTCAAATAGATTATTAATCATTAAAGACCTGTAAATAAAATTCCTGCCTGCATTAGATGGTTTAGAGAATCGGTGTTCCTCTGAATCCTCAGTCTTTCCTCACAGTGTGGCTCACAGACGACTTCAAACTAGAAACTGAGAGAATAAACTTCTATAAATGTTAATTAAGGTGACAAATGATGTGAACAGAAAAGCTAATTTTGTGATGAATCTGTTTATAATCTGTCTTTTTTGGAAATAATTGGAGTTTCTGTGTAAAGGCCGATAAAAGGGAAACTGTTTTCATTAGCTGTAGTTTTTAACGAGATTATAAATCTGATTACAGGATAAATTTGTGTTTTTTTTCTTCTTCTTTGACACAAAATAAAGTCCGATCTGAAAGTCTGAGCTGCAGGTTTTTCCAGACCGTGACGGATCTCTTCATAAATGAGCGTTTGTGTCCACGCCTGGCGGTAAACCACTCTGTACATCCTCCACAATGACATACCGACAGAGCATAAAGTACCGGTGTGTCAGCGCTGAATGTCAGCAGGTCAAAGGTCATCACAATATAGCCTGGGCGAGCAATTACTGATGAATGAAGTCTGAGCGTGAAGGTCGTCCGGGTCGGCGCCGCACAGAGGGGACCGTGTTTCCAGCTGACCCCCGAGAGGCTTAAAAAGCGTTATGTGATGTTTTTTTTCTTCACCTCCGTTATTATCGCTGCGAACCGGCAGTTAGGGAACATTTGAGCTTTTATCGCAGGACCATCAGCGGCGCATTCAGCTCACGGCGGCGCTGAGCGGATCCTGCAGCGAGTCCTGACCCGTGCTCACCTGTAAACACTTCACTCCAATCACTGCGAGGATCCTGCCCGCTGTTTTCAGCAGCGTGGACAGACCCGATCATAACTGCAACATCTTTTTTTTTTTGTCGTGTAAGTCCATCATCGCGCGGCGGTGAAACTTCTCCCTCTGGACTTTTATAAACTTCTTCCCCCGTTTGGCTCGAGGCCGCGCTCGCCAGCAGCGAGGTGCATCGACGGCCAGGCGAGTGTGTCATCCTCCGGCGCCACGCAGGAGGGTTTCACAGGAGAGCAGCGGAGCTCTTCAAAATGAGCCCAAACACACAGAAAAGAGGCTTCAGCAGGCAGATGGCTCTGATTGGAAATCTAGTTTGAGATGAAAATACATCTAACTGTGCAGCGATGCAGTCAGTCTCTATCTCCGTCTCTGTCTGTCTCTTATAATCCCTGAGTGCACACTGTGCTGCTTACAACTGTCAATTTATTAATAAAGTTTAACTCTCAACTTTTCTCCTCCTGTGGAAGAAGCAAGAGTGTTCAAGTCTGACAGAAAGACGGAGAGACAGAGAGAGAGAGAGAGACGGAGAGAAAGAGAGAGAGAGAGAGAGACAGAGAAAGACGGAGAGAGAGAGAGGGGGGAAAATACAAATCCAGAACTTCAAATCAAAGTGCATCATGGTCAATAACTTCAAGTCTGTTCACCCTGAGACGACCCTGAATTCACTCAGAATTAATAACCTCGATTTAGTCCCCCTAAATTAGATTATTTATCCATTTATTTTCATTAATTTTTCCTCTGGTTTCTTTTATTTTATGAGTTTCCTCGATCAGTTTCTTTTAAAAGCCTTTTTTTAAATTTGGTTTTCAGCTTTTTTATGTCCGTTTTTCTAAAAATTATTATTTTTCAGAGGTCGTTTTTCTTTCTTTTTTTTTTTCAGTGGGGGTTTTGTGCTTTTTGCTTTTCCACATTTACAACAAAAACTGCAAAGTTAAAAAATTTGGTGTTTATAGTTCATGTATGTAAATTTTAAAATCACGAGGTTAACATAAGTTAATATAATCGTAGAAAATAAAATGTAAACTGATTGAAACGGTTAATTCTGAAATGACAAATCCACTGTTCTACTGAATGCCTGCAATAGAGGGGGCGGGGCCAAAATATCAAGCTCTGAAATAGCCAATCAGAAGACAGTGAGCTCATGGAGGGGGGCGGGCCTTAAAGAAACAGCAGCTAAAGTGTTTTTTCTTTTAATCTGAAAATCATGAAAATCTTTTAAAAATGAATCAGAGAGGAAGTAAAGATAATACCCCCTCTTTAACTGATGCTGAATTTCTAAAAACTTTTATTTCCTTTTTCTGAGTTTGTCAAAATAAAAGTATTTCTCTTTCTTCTGCTGTTTTGAATCTTTATTTTTTGTGGATGTTTCTGTCGTGTTTCTGAAACTGTTTAATATTTGTCTTTTTTTAATACTGAGGTTATGTCAAATAAAGATCATGAACTCTGACTTATTGAAGGTCGAAGACTTTTATTACCGACCCTGAGCCTCAACGACGTCAGTTCACCTGCAGGTCAAATTAGCCGTGCTCATAAATGTTCCCATTCACCCACAAATGATTATTAAGATGGTTCATAATAGAAAAATCAACCTCCTGCAGAGTCGCATGAATAAAGAGACATTTGTAGTTTGGGCTCTGATGAGAACTTGTTGGTTTTGTAAGAAATCCCCGGTGGACAATTGGAGAACTGCAGATTTTAGCAGTCCTGAAGTTGTCAATTAGTAGTAATCAGAAAAGTCGTACCCAGACGTCACTTTCTGTTTCCTGATGAATCTACAGATTGTCTTAAATTAAAGTAAAAGACATGAACCATCCGAATCACCTCACTTCAGGTCCGCAGAGATGTTCTGTTGAGCTCAGTTGATATCCTCTCATGTTTACTCTGATGTTTGAGCGTCCACATACTTTTGGACATGTAGTCCTGTTACTGAGAAAGAAAGTCGAATATTGGAGAGAGATCCTCCGACTGAAGCTGGTCCTCCACGAAGGTCAGGGGGTCACTGAAATTATTTAAACTCGCCCTCTGAGGAGCATGAATATTCACACAAAGTTTCACGGTCGACAGTTTCCACAGCGTGGAGCGACTTAATTCAGGACCCGGCGTCTGCAGCGGGTCGAGCCGTGCCGCAGGAATACAGAGCGGAGCTGAGCGGCGTTCATTAGGCTGCAGCTAGCTCTGCCGTTTGCTACAGGCCATGTTTAGCCTCTCTAAACTGATCCCGCTTTGTCTGTGGCCGATGTTAAACTTGTGTTATTACAGCTGGGGGGGTTCATTAAATCAAGGGCTCTTCACTCGATTGTTCTGCAGAAACTGTTTGGATTCAATAATACAAAGCTTTTTCTATTTGCTGTCCATCTCATCTCCACCGTAGATTACAGGAGCGCAGGTGAAGCTGCAGAAGCTGACGCACTGCCAGCAGCATACAGATCAGTGTGTGTGTGTGTGTGTGTGTGTGTGTGTGTGTGTGTGTGGATTATTGTCTGAAACACTCAGGAGACAATTAAAGCCTCAGAGGAGAGCTCTGCATGTCTGTCTCTTCATTCCTGTCATCCTTCTGCTGCAGTTTCAGAGTCCAATAACGGGAGCTGCTGAAGTCTGAAGGCTCTGCACAAAAACTGTGTGAGCACAAAGCATCATGGGTAAGACACGTTGACTCACAGCTGAGCTCTGCGTGATTTTTTCAGCGTGTTACCGAACTTTAAAGCTACAGTGGGTAACTTCTACGTGTCTGTAAATATCCGTTTCACCAACGCCGCTACAAGAGGAGATGATACAACATTGACTAACCCCCAATTTTCACCGCACCTGGAACGACCGCGATCTTCATCGTCCGCCAATTCCTACCGGATCCATTTGTGTGGCGAATTTCGTGGCGGGTTACAAACAGCAGGAATCATGAGAACTCACAAGAACCCGCAGATTTACGTTCAATCGCACAATGACAAGTTGTCTCTCTAAAGACAGACACATAGACATATAAGCAGTAGATTGTGTCCTTCCAGAGGAGGAAATCTACTTCTAGACTTCTAGAATCAGCATCTCCTCATCCATGGTGTCATCGGGGTGAAATGACGTCTAAAAACCTTTCACTTGTTCGGATGTTTTATTTTGAAGTCTGTGCCCGACTTCCTTTCCAGCACGGGTTAATCTGTGCTGAATTTATCCGCCATGCTCCGGCGTCCAGAAAAAATAGAACTCTTGTGATCAGCTGAGGAGTCCGGCGATCCGCAGAGGAACGGAAAGAAGTCGGTGTAAATTGACACGTTAACTTGAATGGTTACGATCAGCTACGATCGGAGGATACGACCTTTTAGGAGACGATCAGGAGGAAGGTGGAGATCGGGGGTCAGCCATTTGGCTCCTCTACCATCTCGCAGTAATTTTCAGTATTTGGTGTCGAGGGTCGACATTTCTGCGCTGGCACACAGGAAATGATACATTCTACTCGGCTTTATCTGACAACGAAGGAGAGGAGAGGAGAGCAACGTGGCGGAGAACTCAAAGAAGTGACCAAGAGGTTCAGAAGTGGATCCTACTAAAAAGAAAGACTTCAGACGGTCTGTTGGCGAAGGAAGAGAGTGACAGACGGAGGAGACTAACGCAGATTTACATCAGTGTCGGAGAGCCCTGAAGGAGAAGACTGGACTGAAGTCACGATCTTAAAAACGTATGTATGTGGTTTCTGAATAAGGACACCGGTAAGACATCGCAAATGTAGAAAAAAAAAAAAAAAGTTTAGAAATGCAAAATAATGAAACTTTAAACCTGCAATCAAAGAAACAATCAAAGATACAATCAAAGATACAGTCGTCACCAATTCACTTGAGATTCTGCAAATAACCAGGATTTAAAAACTGTTTGACTCAAGACAACGAGAGGTCAAATGTTGGAGATTTTAACGTTGTTGCTGCTCTAATTACAGACGAATCAAGTTACTTTGTTAAGATCTGAGATTTAGAGAGACGTCCATGTCTGCTCTGCTGTCTGTGCACGGGTTGCAGGACAGGATGAGACTCCTCTTTTGTCTATCAGGGACGGTTGGAGTCCAGAATCTCCTCATGCTGCTAACTTTCACTGTCACAGTGAGACAGCTGATCTTCGCGCAGCTTCGATTGGTGGTTATTTTTGTGACTGTAGCTTTAAATCAACCACGCGGCAGATGAAATGAATACCGTCCAATCAGAGAGAGGCTGAAAAAAACCCACATATCTCGCTCCTCTTTTCCTGGCTGGAATAAAAAGCTTCTACAGCGAGCGCTAACTGACACCCAGCTTGATCGTGATTAACATGTGTTTCATATTTCACACAGCTTCTGGTGGAAAGAGGGGGTGCTGATGTGTGTGAGTGTGTGTGTGTGTGAGTGTGTGAGTGTGTGTGTGTGTGTTATGAAGCCCAGAGATCAATGCAGTGTTTGATCTGCATGTATCTGAGTGAAGTGAGCTTCCACAGGGCTTCCAGAGCTACCAGCCCGGGGGGAAGCTCGGTGATACGGGCAAAATCTCACTCTGCTGCACCACAGCACCCTCAAAACACACACTCACACACTCACACACACACACACACACACAGCGTTTCATCTGCTTTGCTGTTTCATCTCATCCCCATGCACACACACACACACACACAGAGTCAGAGTCAGAGGAGCTGGCTGCAGCAGCATCACGTCCATCATGTTCCTGCAGGAACAAAGGCTGAACTCAGTGAGGAGCATCTGAAGCTGCTTTTGATTCGGAGATGTCTTCACTCTGAAGGTTCGGGTTTTAATTTGAGATCATTCTTCTGAAATCCAAACTGTCATACATTTGCAAAGTCAGGCCGCTCAGTTACACAACAGGAAAGGTCAAGAGGTCAGACGTAAACTCTTGACACAGATTGTTTGTTTGAGTTTTTAAAGTTTTCAGACGACGGTGGACGAGAACCGCCACGGCTGCAAATGAAGAGGAACGCAAAAATAAAAAAGAAACCACAGCTGAGGTTACCGACACAAAAAAAAAGAAAAGTTACTTACTGCGAAAATAAAAGGATGCACCGGTGTTTTATGATCTAGGCACAGAAGACGACGGCGAGAAGACGAGCAAAGAAGTTTGTGTAAATGTTATTGTTTAGTTTTAATGAGTCATGTGGTTAGACCATGTAGCGCCTGAGTCCACATGAAGTTGAACTGGAGGATGTCGGTGTAGCGTTAGCTTCAGTTCAACT